CTACATCTCCAGCCCTCATCCCTTGGTTTTTGTTTTGCCACTCATCACAGAATCGTGCATGTATTGGTCTATTTACTTTGTCTATCCCCACCAGAAAGTTAGACCCATGAATGCAGGCCCTGTGTTCTCAGTGGAGAATTGGTGGTGAAGGACTTCAGTATTCTATGCATGCCATTTGACAGCATTGTGATGGAGACTGTCCTAGTTAGCTGCAGCTGTCAACTCACAAAACCTAGAATCACCTGGGAAGAGGGGCCACCAATTAAAAAAACAGCCTCCCTCAAATTGGCCTATAGCCATGTCTTTGAGGCATTTTCTTAATTGCTAATGCTTGAGATAGAAGGGCCCAGTTCTGTGTGGAAGGTACCTTCCCCAGGCAGGTGGTCCGTACAAGAAAACTAGCAAAGCAAGCCAGGAGAAGTGAGCCAGTAAGCAGCATTTCCCATGGTTCCTGCTTCCATCTGCCTTAAGTTCCTGCCTTCACTTACCTCAATGATGAGCTATAACCTTGTAAACCAAATAAACCCCCTCTCCCTGAAGTTACATTTGGTCATGGTGTTTATCATGGTAACAGAAGCAAACTGGATAGAAACTGGTACCAGGAAATGGGCTGTAATGTACTTGCAGGTTGTTTTGGAGTTGGATTGTGTGTTTAGAACCTTGGACTGGAAAGAGTTTTAAGGGTTGTTCTGTGTGGGGACCTGGAAAAAATATTGAGAGAAATTCAGATGATGGAATCCTGGCTTGTGAAGTTTCAGAGGAAAGTTTGAAAGTTCCTCAAAGAATCTATCAGGGACATTTATGTGATATTTTGGATCAAGAATCTGTGGAAGTGAAACCTTTGCTTCACTGGAATGAAAGATGCTGGTTAGCTGAGGCTGAATAATTAGCTGTAATTAATAAGAGACCAACATCAATGGGGTGAAATCTTCTGGGAAGTTATTTCCCTGGGATCAACACATAGAAGCTATGTTCCAACGTGTGTGGGGAGGCTACATATCAAAATGGCAGACAGAAGAACTTGGGAAATAATGTTTAAGAGTACCATATGGTACTGGTTTTGAAGGCTTAAAGGGCCATAGAATGTAGTTGGGGCTTGGCACTCTGAAATAGCATCTGGGTTTCCCTGAGGAGTCCAGGAGAGGCCACTGCTGAAGGGACAGCTTCAGGTAGAGTAGAGATGCCAGGACCACAGGGCAACCACCAAGGATAGTGGCAGTTGTAGAGCAGAGCCAACTTGAATCTGTGGGACAAGCTGTGTGTGCAATGAAAAGCAGAGCTGGACAGGTTGGGTTGCCCAGGCCTCTGAAGCCCAGAAGATCATGAGTCCCAGAAGTCAGGCACTGATCTAGATACACCAAAGGATTTTGGTTTTATTTTTCTCTGATTGTAACTGTGCCCTGGTTTTTCCCTCTTGAAATAAGAAAGTATATAATTTGTTGGGTTTTTCCCCCTTCATTTTACAGTAACCCACAGTTAAGAGACTTGGAATGATTTTTAAAAGATTTTTTATTATTTTAAGTTATATGTAAGTATGAATGCCTACACATGAATGCAGATGCCCTTGAAGACTAGAAGAGGCTTTGGATTCCCCTAGAACTGGAATTATAGATGGTTGTAAGCCACATGGCCTGGATGATGGGAACTGAAGTTGGGTCCTCTGGAAGGCCAGCAACTACTCTTAACTGCTGAGCCATCTTTCCAGCCCTGAGATTTTGGACTTCAACATTGTTGGAAGTTATTAAAGACTGTGGGACTTTTAAAGTTGTACTGCATTTTATATTATTATGTTAACATGGGATTTTGAAAATAAGCAAGAAAGATTATGGTTTAAATAGATGTGTGTGTGTGTGTGTGTTAAAGTGGATAAAAGGTGAAATGTCATAGTTAGCTTCAGCTGCCAACATGACACCACCTGGAGTCACCTGAGACTAGGGTACCTCAACTGAAATATTGCCTCTATCAGATTGGCTTGTGGCTATGTCTGTGAGGCCTTAATTGCTAATTGATGTAGGAGGGCCTAGTCTCTCACAAGGCAGGTGCACCTGGACTGTGTAAGAAAAGTAGCTAAGGAAGCCATGGAAAATGAACTAGTAACCAGTGTCCCTTCATGTAGTTTCTGCTTCAGTCTTCTGTCTTGAATTTCCTAGATTACTTTTTTTTTTAATGTCTAAACCAAATAAGCTAATAAACTCTCTCTTCCCTGAAGGTGCTTTTGGTTGTGGTGCTTATTACAGCTACGGAGAAGGAAACTAGGACAGTGACCAAGCTGGGCCAGTTACATTCTTAGCCTCAGGACTTGACAGATTATAGAGAGCTCAGCAGGCAGTACTGGGACAGAGGCCAGCTGGGAGGGGTTGGGCATCGAAGACTTGTCTTGTACCACTTGTGAGGGAATCCTGGGTATGAAAACAGAGGCCCAGGAGCTACAGCCAGAAGGGCACTGGAACTCACATGGACAGATGAGCCCAGGGGGTGTCATGAAGATAGTTGTTGCAGCCAAGGGAGGGCACAGCACTGAAGCTAACTAAGGTGCTGAGGTGCTTTATGGAAGGCTGCCCTCCCCACAAGCAAAGCATCCATGTGTGCTGGGCTGCTCAGAGTCACTGTCTTTTCCAACACCCAGGGACACACAGTGATTGGAGAATGTGATCCCCATGGACACAGGGGGAAACTGAGGCTCAAAAGGTATGCCTACTGAGGACTTAGCCCAGTAGTAAAACATTTCCCTAGTGTGCAGAAAAGGCTTTGGGTTCAGAGAGAGAGAGAGAGAGAGAGAGAGAGAGAGAGAGAGAGAGAGAGAATTTGCCCTAAATATCAGTAATGTGTTAGTCCTCCAGACAGCCTAGCTCTGACCACTACTCTCCCAAGGTGAACAAAGGGGTTCACCTAAGAGGAGGTGGCTGATGGGAAAGGGTTATACATTAGGGATGCAGGCTTTTTTTGTTGTTGTTGTTTATCGAGACAGGGTTTCTCTGTGGCTTTGGAGGCTGTCCTGGAACTAGCTCTTATAGACCAGGCTGGTCTTGAACTCACAGAGATCTGCCTGCCTCTGCCTCCCGAGTGCTGGGATTAAAGGTGTGCACCACCACCTCCTGGAGGGATGCAGGCTTTTAAAAAAATGTTTATTATTATTGTGCATGTGTGTATGTAGGGAGGAGGTTTGTAAGGAAAATGTTCTACCACTGAGCTACATCCCCAGCCCAGTAATTTTGCTTTAAATCTTTGCTTTTATTGTTACACACCATAGAGCACCTCCACAAATAGTCCTGTGTACATCATGCATTCAGTGCTGGGTTTCCCCTTGGGGATAATGTCTCCACTGTGAGATTACAGATGACTGTGTCAAAGGGCAAGAAGTTCTTTTGGGTTCATTCTGCATATATCCCCCACCCCCCAACTCTCCAGTCTAGGCCTGCTCCTTGCTTTGCTGATCTTGAATGATTACAGACATTATCAAGATGACATTTCACAGAAGTGCTGAAGAACACAAGAGTTGGAAGGCAAAGAACAGTAGGCCAAGGCCATGATGAAGAAGCTGTACTCAGGGCCTCTCTTCAGATTGCACCCTGTCTTCCTGCAGAGTGTGTGTGTGTGTGTGTGATGGGCTAGGGTGGAATCTGCTGCTTTTAGCTGATATGTCCCCAAAACTCAGAATATTCTTTTCCTGTTTAACTTTCGTTACATAAAATAATACAAAAAGAGTCACATTGAAATTTGACCTGTTTTCTCTTTAAAAGTATGTGTGTGTATTTAAAACACACACATATACATTACACACATATATAATGTGGTAAATTACCAATATGGAGCCAGGTAAAAATACAAGGGAATTTAATAGGGAAAAGCCTTACTTACAGAGTGACCTAGCCAGCCAGTGGGGCAGCAGTTCATACAGCAAGCCAAAGATGAAAGCAAAAGCAGCCCATCAAGTAAGCATCCCTCACTCTAGTCCCCCTGACCACGCCCTTGCAGGCGTGGTCAGGCACACCTGTAGCCAGCCCCTAAGCAGGCGTGGCTATAACATCCCCTACAATTCCCCTTTTAGTTTAAAAGAGGATTAAAACTTAACCGTGTAAAGTATCCAAAATTAACAATCATAAAGGTGAAATATAAGAAGATACAACAATCTGCTTATGTCACATCCTAACTATGTCTATTTTAACTAAACCCTAAAGTCATCTGAAAAAGGTGTCCAAGCCTGAATACCTCCTTCCAATCTCAACCATAAACAATAGGAAGCTATCCCTAACTAGGTATATACACTATCCTAAATGACAACAATAGGGGAAATGGGGGCATAGCATCCTCCAAGTTACTTCCTGCTGAAATGGGATGACAACAGCCTTGTAGGGTCCTGTAGGAAGAAAATGTTAGTATAGTGAAAGTCTTGAATGGATCGTATCCAGTCCATGTTAGTTGGGATTCGCTTAATTGAAGATCTTGCTTGAAATCCTCAACTTGAATGAAGTCAGTACCCGAACCTCTGGCCGGAGTGTCAGTTGAAATGGAGCAAGTTGGATCCCAGTGCAGTCGAGGAGATGTAGACCATTTTCTTTCCAGGGTGTCCAGGGATTGCTGTCAGGCAGGTCTTCATTGGCTGTGTGGGACTCAAACATAAATGTTAGCAGAGGAATGCTTGCTTGTATAAATATGCATACTGGAAAAGACAACAATGGGAGAATAACAATTATGAGAGGGTGTACCTTGAAAGAAAGAGCCAAGGTAAGACAAAGACAGTCTCCAAATTCTTTCTTATTCTGTATTACATCAATTGGCTTCTTGATACAATACAGAAACTCTAAAGTTTAGTTAAACAACAAACATGCTTGGATTTTAGAGGAGGAAAGCCAAATCCAACTCTAAATCCAGCATTGGTTTAATTGAATAGGGACTAGGAAATAAAGAGAAATAGAGTTCTCTGAGAGACAGCTGTAAAGTTTACCATATGGCACTTTCCTTTTGTTTGATGGTTATAGCTACCTTATCTTCTTAAGTATCTACCCATGGAGTGTCCTTTGACTTCTGGAGATGAGTTTTCCTGTGAAGATCACAGCAAAATGCTTCCTTTTTCCTTTGGGAGGTTTCTATTTAGTTTATGAGATATACCTTAGTAGAATACCTGTCATTTTTCCTCGTTGAGAGTGTTTTCCTTTTCAATTCGAATCTTGATCAACTTTGATTGATCAAGGTTTTCTTCTCCTAGAGCAGTATTATTTTTCACAATAGGCAAAGAACTATCTATTCGTCCTGTGAGAGATTGTCTTCCACTGCTACTGGGAATGACCAGACCTTTCTACATGTGTGGGCCTTCTTTAGTCCCCCCTTGGGCTTTCCTGGCCTTAACAGGTTTCCTTGCATGTCCCTGGTTGATCTACATTCATTGGTCCAGTGTCTGCCCTTACCACATCTACACAATCCAGAAGGCAGTGGCCTTCCGTATGAGGAATTGTTAGAATTCGTTTCTCTACATCATTGCTAAAATTACTTTGTCTACAATTTCTCTTAATATGTCCCATTCTACCACAGCTGAAACATCTAGGTTCCTGGTGCCTTCGTGGTCTCCTGGGGAAGGCTCTTCCTAACCAATGTTCTGGTTCATAGTGGTAGTAACCTCTAGCCTCCTTGTACCTATGTTGACCTCTGTAAGGTGCTTCTCCTTCCTAAGCCCTTGTGTCCTCACTTCTAGAACTTTTAATCTCCTGTTGCCTTTTAAACCTTGGCTTCTCCTACCCAAGCTCCAGTATCTTG